GGATTCTGATACATCTAGTGTAACTTAAAAATGTTCTTGATAATAAACTTTTTGAGTAAAGCTTAAAGGGTTCAAATTTGGAAATAGTTAAAATCAACAACAGTTTCTGTGACAAAACGGTCTTTTTTTGTCCAGTTGTATTATTTTTATGTGTCATTACTTTAACAGTTGCAGACTCCACTATGTGTGTTTTATTGGGAATTTATACCGTCGTAATTATTTACAGGCTCAGTGTAAACCTCCTCCAGCCCCTTTCTTGTTGAATTTTGCCCCAAAGCTGTGATTGTAAAAATGCCTCCAGAATTGCTTTTTTTTTTGTTTGTTTCACTTCATGTGAGGAATTTTAGTGAGTTCTTAAAAGCTTATTGTGAAATTAACAAACTGAAATCTTTTTTCCTTAGAAATAAAACACAAATCAGASTAATGACTAAATAAATAAATATTTTTTTGAAGTTAGAAGATTTCTTAAATATTCTGTAGTTTAATGTGCTCCGTGTCTTCTCATTTAATCCTCAGGACCACTAACCCAGAGGTGAATGGACCTCCACCGCCCCTTCAAGATGGACAGCCCCTCCTACCTGCCAGCTCCTCTGGCCTCCCCGGCCCTGATGGTGCTAGCCTCCACAGCTGAGGCTGGCCGAGACGCTTCTGTCCCCTGCCAGGCGCCCAGACCCTTCGGCGTCCCGGTCTCTGTGGAAAAGGACCTGCACCTCCCGTTCCCTTCAGCCTCCTACACCTTCACCTCCATGTACCAGCGCCAGGCCCCCATGTCGGGCACGTTCCCGTCCCGAGACTTTCCGGCCTCCCTGCTCCACCTGCACCCTCAGTTCACCCCGCCGAATCTGGACTGCCCGACTCTGGGCATGCTCAACCACAGCGGCGTGGGCGCCTTCCGGCCTTTCACGTCCCCGCAAGACGAGAGGGAATCCGGGGCTTACCAGTCAGCCTTCAGTCCCGCCAAGAGGCTGAAGAGCTGCTTCCCGGACGTGGAGGGGAAGGAGTTCGACTTTGGCTCCTTGAAGGCCGGGGAGGAGACGGGCAGGAAGTTGTTCTCCATGTCCGGCCTGCTGTCTGATGGGGAGGCTACGTCAAGCCCGGAGGAGCGCAAAGAGCACAGTGAGTCCACACACTCTGCTTAGAGAGAAGAAAACATTTAGTTTAGTGTCTGAACCTCAGACAGGGGCACTCCCCTCACATCTTTAATGCAGAGACTAGTGGTAGGTATATTCCTAAACATCATGCTCACGCTGACCTGACATGACCATGATGATAGCATATCCTCTACAGCTGCACCCCCCTTTTTTTCCCCCCTTTCACTCCACGGTCTAGTTAGGCAAAGTGTTTACAGCGCCTGGCTGTGGCTGACTTTGACACAAATAAATTGAATAGTGGCACTCATTCAGTTTAGTGATCATTAGCCACATATGACCATTAGGCCCATTGGAAGTCAGGCTTTTTCTCAGTGGCTGAGGAACACAAACACAACGGAGTCGGGTTGACACGGGAGGAGTGAGAGTAGGAACGAATGACACCCTGTCAGAGATAACGAGGTGGCAGAGATAGAGAGGAAAGGGATGGAGGAGGATACAGACAAGGGAGAGAAAGAGACGGCGGCGCAGCGCTCCAGCCTGAGCTTCTCCTCGGCGGCGACAACCCTCAGCTCAATATGTCCGCCCACACCAGCCGTCTGATTTGTTGACAAATGAGTGGGAGAGGTGTCAGTCAGCCGCGGCGCACATGGGAGAGACGCTCCTCATTACTCCCGGGGATAATTGCCCAACGACGCGGGGGCCCCAGCACTCGCCTCTGAGGAGGGTGGGGGGG